AAATTGTTCATGCATATCGTTGATTTTGTTTCAGTTTCGTATTAGTCACAGGACTTGTAAAAAGTAAAATTATCCTTTACTTAAGTTTTTATTTATATTACACAAATTGAAATCAACTTCTAAAGTGTGTGCACTGTGAGTCAATTCCTAAATGGAAAATACTGCAGTAAAAATGGCCATTCCTAAATATATTTGTTTGCCACAGCAATTATAGGTCCACCACTATCTAGACAAACTAAGGCTTTCAAAACAGTTTTGTTCCGTGTGCATTATTTAAAGCATGACTGAATAGCTATAGAAACCTGTAAACAAATGCATGTAGCCCCCGGAAGAAGGAAGCCTACTCAAAACAGTGAATTACCATACTTATTTTCCACAAAATAATACGAATTAATTAATAAAAGTTTGATGCAACTGGCTTGGTTTATCAGACAAGCTACGTTTTTTCTGTTTCGTTGCTTCCTCTTACTCAACCGGCTTCAAAAACACTGTCTGTTTAAACACTAAAAACTTATAAACCACTAAAAATCTATTTTAAGTAATATGCAATAAACAAAGAATAAAAAGTCATGTTTTCCCATCGCGAGAGGCCAAAAAAGTAGTTTTCACTAGGCTATTATTAGCGGCTTTAAAGAAAGATGAATGTTTATTTACTAATTAAAGAAGTGTAATTGTTTTAACAGAGATAGCATTTAAAAAAAAAATAAGACAAGAGTTTTACCCCAGTGCAAAACAAAGCAGATTTGGATACAGATGTCTTACCGATGATTCGACAACTCACTCGAAGAGATTGAAAACCATTCGCTTCAAACCAGGAGCAGCGGAAAGTGAATACGGACCCCTGAGAGTCTCCAGATCCAAACGCTCCCTGTGTACACTGTTGTGTGGCCCCGGGCCCCAGCTCCGGCTGATGTTCCGGCTGTGTTTTGATAAAGATCGGGGAAGCACATTTAGGAATGTTACTAAGGCGAAGGCTTTGCTCATGAATATTAAATAGCTTGCGCTGACGTTGTTTGTATCCGTCCTGCGGCGTCCAATCGCTCAGCCTAATTAATATCCAAGAGGAAACATTTCAGCAAATCAGCAAGGCCGGCCGGACGAAAGTATTAATATGCATGAGGGAATCCTTTATCATAGCAGGATTCGTACATTAGTGTTGTGGAGTTAACCGATGAGAGCCACGTCGCTACATGAGGTGAAATGAGGCGTATTTTGGGAAACACTGAATAGCCGTTACTTTTCTCACCGTTCGCAGAGCGCATCATCTATTCATTGGTTATCGCATTATCGAGTGTAAATAATGCAATGCATATTTGCAGTGTAGCTACATCAGTCACAGGAGTGTGTCTGTGTGGATGAAGTGTGATGAAGAAAATGCAAGCTCAAGCTCATCATCGTCACTCAGCCCCGTTTAAACTGCATTAATGGTTGTGCAAATAGAAATGAACAGTAATTTTTGAAAATATTTTGAAAAATAATGCAGGCTACTGTAACATGAAGACTCAGTAGCCTAATCAGTCTTACCAGAATTTAGAAAACCGGGCCTGTTCATGACCATTACTGAACATCTGAACATAAACAACGAAAACACTGATTATATACTGTACTGTACATGTATTAAATTATTATTTAATGTTTTTTACAATTTAATATGTGTGTATGTATATATAATATATAATATTAAAAAGTGCATATCCTGTAAAATAATAGACTTATTTAATAAAAGATGCTTTATTTTACATGGTGCGGGCTGGCCATCATGTCAAGGACACATAACCTACTGAAAATGAATCATGGCTGATTGCAAACAATGCATTTCTATGGAATTGCACAGGAAGGCTTTGTGAAAATCAGAAAATGTGTTGCATCGAACATAGAAAACTACATATTGTGTAAACTGAAAGTAATCTTAGTTTTTGTGACCTGCCATATATAATATTAAAAAGTGCATATCCTGTAAAATAATAGACTTATTTAATAAAAGATGCTTTATTTTACATGGTGCGGGCGGGCCATCATGTCAAGGACACATAACCTACTGAAAAAATACTGAAAATGAATCATGGCTGATTGCAAACAATGCATTTCTATGGAATTGCACAGGAAGGCTTTGTGAAAATCAGAAAATGTGTTGCATCGAACATAGAAAACTACATATTGTGTAAACTGAAAGTAATCTTAGTTTTTGTGACCTGCTGAATGTACTTGGATTATGAATTAATGTCCCCTTTAAATACAAATGAAAACTCTTTTTATATGCAGTGATGTTGAAAGTAATTTTGTAGGATGAATTTGCACTTTTGACCTCTGCTGTTTACTTTAATGTCACCCCAATACATCAAAACAACAAATTACATGTCTTATGATATTGACATGTTTTTATTATTATTATTACTTTAACATAGACTGCTACATGACATGTAGCCACTTGTAGTGCACTTTGCACCAAAACAAGATGATTAAATGATTGTGAATAAGTGAGAGAGAAGGAGAAATAAAATTATAGACTATAGTTTTATAGGGTTGTTCATATCCCGGCACTTTTAACCAAGATAATTTTGTTTTATTAGACTGAGATTTATTGTATAATGCTTTCTGGAAACTGCTATACAACTCTCTCTGTTGTATAAATAGTGTAATGCGTTGTTTGACAATCCAAATCCACGATGAATACAGAATTATGAATAAATGTTGTAAAATGCTTTGCAAACATTAATTATTTACTTTAAAACCAGTCTTTTCACAATGAGCTTAATCTCTCAAATGCAGCATGTTTGGCAGCAATTTTAATTAAAAAGCATGCTAAATTAAGATTAATATTTACAATTACAATCTTCTTCAGGTCACCCACCAGTTAAAACATTCACATATAACTTACAGGGCCTCAAAAGATCAATACAAATATTCATGTCAAGTGATAATTCTTGCTTAGAATTTTTTTTTTTTTTATCGTGTAGATGTTGGATATCAAAATAAAATCCACTAAAGACACAGAGAAGACACATTTATATGGTTACAGCCAGAGATTTCTCACAATGCTGTTCCAAACTCACTCAAACTTCATTAATGATGGTGTCATCATTTTGTAATAAGTTGTTAATCTGATAATAAAGTTAAGAAATATAATCCATTAGACACACTGCTGTTTAAACGTTTGGGGTCTGTACGATTTTTTTTATTGTTATCGAAATAATTTTTTTTAATGGTCACCAACCTGCATTTATTTGATCAAAAACACAGTAAAAACAGAAATACTGTGAAATATTTTTAGAATTTAACATTATATTTCTAGTTTATATACTTAGTTACATTAGTAACTCATTTTGCACTACATGCTTAATGCTTTTTATATATTATTATTATTACTATTATTCTTTTTCTTTCTGTTAATACATATGTGCACTATTTGTAAGCAGTCCAGCTGCAATTGCTTTGGCAATACAAATGTATAATTTTTGTCATGCCAATAAAGCACTCTTAAATTGAAAATTGAAATTAAGAGAGAGCGAGAGAGAGAGAGAGAGAGAGAGAGAGAGAGATCAGCCATGGCAAATATCGCTGTGCAGAGGATCAAGCGAGAGTTCAAAGAAGTGCTGAAAAGCGAAGAGGTTTGCAAAACGTTACTTTACTGTGTTTTTGTGCCCGTCGAGAGCAAACAAGAGGACTTTTGGGACAAACATCCAGAAGCCAGTCGGCTAGCTTAGCCCGCTAAGCTAATGTTAGCACGAGCTGTCATATGATGGCCTGTAGAGACGGAAGTCATACAACCGACAAATGTGCTTCCTTTAATGTTTTGAGACGAAATTCTTGACCGAAATGTGAAAACCATTTATGGACACTTCAAGATTTTTGACTTGCACTCGCCGTTCTTTAGCCGGGAAGCTAACTTGCTATTTGACATAGCTAGCTTCACTAGCGCTTCTTTATTGTGTTGTTATAATATTAGCACTCGTGTTTGTCGCCTATTAACTTATGTTTCTTTTTTAAAATACTGGTTTACCTGTCGTGTTTGATGTGTTAGTGTCAGTTAGCAGCACTGCTAGGCTGTTTAAGTAGTTTTCTGTAGTGTGGATGTTTCAAAACCCATTGAGCTGCCTACCTAGACAGCATGTTTTGGAATCGTAGGCACCTTTCATGCTGTCTACCTAGGCTGCTCATTGTCTCACAATTTAACTGGTCACTTCTTTGTTCTGGGCAGCTGAAGAAACCACATCGTTTCTTGCTTTTGTCCTGATCCCAGTTATATCAGATGCACAAAAGCTAACTGGGCTGACAATCTCCCCCCCCTCTTGTTTCTATTTTTGTTCTGTTTTATAACAGACAAGTAAAAATCAAATAAAAGTAGATCTGGTGGATTTTTTTACAGAACATTGCATAGTGTATGATGGCCACAGACTTCTTTAGCTTCAAACATGAGATGTTTTGAACCGTTTCGCAACGAGGCACATGTTTGTGCGTGAATTTGTCGTGTTTGTAACAACTCGAACGTCTGGTAGTGTGTGATTCTCAGTTCTTCAGTGTACTGTGAGGCCTAGGTTTTCTCTGTTATCCCTTTACAAAGGTTGGCAAGTGTATGACGCCTAGTGTTTTCAAATCTGTTCAGTTGTGTAGTGCATTCCAGCTTTAACTTAACCAGCACTTGACGTAATTAACATTTTCTATGGCAGCCGAACCTAATCATGCAACAACTACTGGTTAACATTATCTAAAAATACCTGCTAGTATGTTCTAAATTTGGCTGTGAACACAGAAATAACAACAGAAACGTATGATAAACTAACTATAATAATGAAATTATTTACCAATGAAAAGTTGACTAAAGGGGGAATTTTTTTTATATCAGGGTAATAATTCAAGCTCATTTGTGACCCTGGAGCACAAAACCAGTCATAAGGGTCAGTTTTTCTAAATTGAGATTTATACATCATCTGAAAGCTGAATAAATAAGCTTTCCATTGATGTATGGTTTGTTAGGATAGGACAATATTTGGCCGAGATACAACTATTTGAAAATCTGGAATAATATACCCCAGCGACTTCAGACTGCTTTTGTGCTGCAGGCTCACAAACTTGTTTCATACAAGAGTTTAATTTCATTTTAATTCAACTCCCCCTCAATTCAAGCTCTGTGTGCGCTGATAAATCATGTGCAATAAAGCAAATACGATCAATTATGATTTAATGTTGACTTGATTTGAAAGATCAAAAGTTAATCTTTTAATCTTAATCTTTTTCAGGTGCGGTTTATTACTAAGATCTGGCATCCCAATATAAGTTCAGTTACCGGGGCGATATGTTTGGACATTTTAAAAGACCAGTGGTGAGTGCTGATAATTAACGAGCATGACAAGTGTAGTCTGTTGTCATCAAGCAAAGAACGCATTTCTTTGGCCATATGCTGTTCTTGTATGTGTTCCCTTTCTTCATTTTCTTGCTTATTCTGTCTTCACCTCCTGTGCACAGGGCCGCTGCTATGACTCTGCGAACAGTTCTGCTCTCACTACAGGCTCTTTTAGCTGCAGCAGAGCCAGATGATCCTCAAGACGCTGTGGTAGCCAATCAGGTACACGCTTCTGTCTGAATGAGAACATGCCAGAAACAAAGCATCGCCACACTTTCAGTCACTGTTGTTGTTGTTGTTCTTTGCAGTACAAGCAGAATCCAGACATGTTCAAACAAACCGCTCGTCTCTGGTCTCACGTTTACGCTGGTGCACCCGTGTCCAGTCCTGAGTACACGCGCAAAATAGACAAACTCTGTGCTATGGGCTTTGACAAAGTAAGTAGTGAAAGTGGACGGCTGATCGTATGGTTAAAAATCCAGATGCAGGGGTTGGCAACCTTAGGGACGCCTTCAGCACATTACCTGAACACTGTCTGTGAGGTGTTAAGCTTGTCGTATGTGATCCTTAATGTTCTGTACAATGACGGTGGCTTGTGAATAGCACATTTTATCAGCCACTTTTGTTTTTTCAATTCAAATGCATGAAATCTATTCAATAGCTGTAATATCAATGCATTGTCATGCCATTAAAAACAACTCAAAAACAAGAAATTCTAAACTGTTGAAAACGTAGGGCGCAAACTTGCATTCGGTTTTCTTTTGTCTGTTTGTTTTCAAATGACTCTAAAATCTAAATCAAATGATACTTTAGTCATTTTGTGTCTTTTTTTGTTTACAAACCAACACATTTTTGTTTAAGGGTAATCAGATGTCGTACAGGTCGCCTGCCACTGTGGCAAAATTACCAGCCACTTCCCAAAAGCAACAGCATTTGACTGATGGTGGGTGTTCATTTTTCACCCTGGTGCAAGATGCATTTTTAGGTCATCACCACATGACATCAAAGTTGTAAACTAGTACACCTATTATACATTACAAAAAATCTAATAAAAATGACACTTCATGTCAAAAAGGTTGCCGACCCTTCGACTAGTGTCTGTAAGACGGTCATTTACTCACTCGTGTATTACACGGTGAAATGGAAACCATATATTTCGGTAAATGTTTTCACATTGTTATTCACATTCGAAAATACACGACAGTTCAGAAGTTTGGGGTTGGTAAGATGTTCGTAAAAGAAGTCTCTTCTACTCACCAAGGCTGCATTTTTTTCATCAAAAATAGTTAAAACGGTAATAGTGAAAAATTATTACAATTTAAAATAACTTAATTTTCAGTTGCAGCCTTCATGATCTTTTATGCTGATTTGCTGCTCAAATAACTTATTATCGGTATTGAAAACTGTATTTTTGTGGAAACTTCAGGATTCTTTCATAAATGGGAATTAAAATGAACAGCGTTTGTTTGATATAAAAATCTTTTGTAACATAATAGATGCATTTACCGTCAATTTAATGCATCATTGCAGAATTAAAAGTATTTGTTCCTTGAAAAATAAAATAAAATTACTGACCCCAAACCTTTGAACGGTAGTATGTTGACAGAAAATATGCAAAATATTATTTTGTAGGCACTATTGGAAAGAGAGTGAAATTTGGCATTTATTAAACATTTGATTCATTTCAGTTTAGTTGACTTGTGGAGTAGCACTTTGTGCTGATTAATGGAGCTGTATTGAATGAGCAAAAGACGGCTGTTATTCAAGTTTTCAGTATGATATTGTTCAGTGAACTGTTCGTGTCATCTTTACTGTTGCTTAGAAATGTTCCATTCTGTCTTTGTCTCTCTAACAGAATGCAGTAATAGTAGCCTTGTCCTCAAAATCATGGGACGTGGAGACCGCGACAGAGCTGCTACTAAGCAACTGATCATCTAGTTCTCTTTATCAGGCCATGTTTTCCTCAAACTCTCCTGCTTCGTGACCCATCGCTCCCACACGTGCATCACCCGTCTCGGTTTGTGTTCAGAATGAATGTTTGGGGAAGAGGCAGCACTGAATCATCTTCTGTCCGTCTTAACAAATCTTCACGTCCCTTGTCTTGTCTTTTTCCCCCTTAAATTTTTTTTTTGCCTTGCTAGAATCATTTTCCTTCTTAAATTTAGGCTGTCACTTACTTTTTAAAGAAACCCAACAAAGACGAAGCCTCCGTCACTGTCATTTCATGCTAAAAAAAAACACCTGCGTCTGTGAAACAATGTCAGTATATGTAAATTAGTATATTTAAGGTTGTGTACATTTAAAAGGCAAAATAGCAGGAATGTTTTTTTTTTGGTATACCATAAAAATACGGTTTGGGATATGTGTATTTGAATGGGATATTTAGCATATAAAAACAAAAATCTGAGATTAATAATACCCCCTTCTATTTGATGCTCTCTTACAATGAACAAATGTGTTTTTATTTGCTCATTTGATTATTTTAAGGTTTCTTTCGGCTTTCCTCTGCACTAATCTGTCTGTGTAGTAGTTGATATGGCCAGATGACATGGTGTTATTTTGTGAGCGCAGACAAACTTACTGGGTGAAGTGCTACATATTTTTTTTTTTTAACAAAAGGAAGATTGGCGTTTCTCACTTTTCCCTCTTTTTGAAAAGGTGTGGGATTGATGGTCACAAACCCTTTCTTTTTCTTTTCAAGGCAGCTGTAAGGTTTGCAACTTGATAATGGACCGATACACCTCGAGTTGCCTAATTTTTTTAGTTTTTTGAAGAATGTATTGTATGAAACAACTTGCATTGAAGTGTAAACATTTTGTACATTTACAGATGAGAAAGTTTAGACATGAGAGTTTCTGTTCTCTTATAACGATTGGCTTTTTTGTGGAACAATCAATACGGTTCAGTTTGGCATTGGTGCAGAACTTTAAAAGGGTCTCCGAGTGTGAGGTGGGCTGCGTTTCTTATCATACCAAAATTGTATTCAGATTTCCATTCACAGGATACAGATATAAATTCGTATTTCCCCCATAACCAATGTTGGAAGCATGAATCGAACAGCTAGAGTTTTTTTAGTCTACAACGATGCTTCAGAGCAAACAGGCCAAGCACGAGTACTGCCACACAATGCTTTGTGAGCCTGTTTTTACCTAGTGTTCTCTTCTTTTCTTACATGGGTGAATTGTTAAGTGTCTATTCTCCCTTTGCTAACATTCCCATATAGAATCTGTTTTCAAAATGCCCCCACGTTCACAGCTAGTTGCTTTCGAACACCACCTTCCTCATGTACATACAGCCAAGTTTTTTGGGGGGATAAAGTACTGTTCATCTCTAGAATGCACCATCGATGGCTGGATTTATATTTTGTATGAAAATCAAAAATGAAACCAAAAACAAAAAGACTGTCTTCCTGTAGTGATCACCTTGTTCAATATATTGCACGAAGAAGTGAATTAAAGGACAAAAACTTCTGTCAAAGGAGAAATGCAGGTCACGGGCTCTGGCTTTAGTCACTTTAAGCTTCTTTACAAAACACGACAGAAAAAAAACCTACTCGAGCCGTACAAGCATGGTTATTTATTGTGAAACTGTCATATTCTTTTGAATTAAAAAAAGTGAAAAATTTAAACTTGTGTTATCCGTGAATCTCTGTTCTGCCGCTGGTACGACATCTCAAGTGAACGCATGTTTATCACTTGGGAAAAAATGAAACCGAACAGCTTTTTCTATTTAAATGTGAAGCAATTTGAACATTTATAACTCAATGTTTCTCAATATAAAAAACTAATTCCACGTAGCAAATACAGGGAGTCCCTTGTAAAAGTGTGAGGAACTCATGCTCATCCATCCAACAGAATAAATAGAATTACTAATCAGAGTCTTGTAGTCTTGGCACTTTATAGAGTTCAACTAATTGAATACAGAACTTGAGCCTCAATGAATCCTTGCAACCAAAGAAATCGGAGGACAATATTTCAATTTAATAGAGGATTAAAAGAAGAGAGGGAGTTAAAACAGTAAAAAATTCTTTCCAGGTATTTAATAAGCAACCTTAGAGTAGATTAAAACAGATTTTTTTTCTTTCAAATGTTTGTTTTTAAAAATGGCTTGGGACAGAGAGGCAACAAGAACAATTTCAACACAAAAGAAAAAACGAATGAAGAGAAACAGGTCTGTGTTTCTACATACAAGTTTGAACATCTGAATCTAAAGAATCCTCGTTCGTCTTGAGGTGTGAGCTAATGACAGTTCAGGTTCATGAAGAGCGTTTGATGTCTCGATCCTTTACTGCCTGACCGTCCTTGTCTTCACGCACCGACGCTTTACCTGAAACCAGAAGACAATATATAAATCAATCAATCTACATTATAGATTGAGACCAGGTCTGGTGGAATTCTGCAGTAAATTTTTAAATATTTAAATTTATTCTCGCGAAAAATGTAGAAAGAGCAAAGACGACACCTTGAAAAAAAAAAAAAATCGTCAGTTTTTAACCTAAATGTCATTCCAAAACCAGTGTACCATTTTTATTTTTACATTTGACAATTTTTTTCTGTGAAACATAAAAGGAGAAATTGAGAAAAAATGGGGTCAGTAGGATTCAAATAAATTAATGAAGCAAATATCAGCAACAGCAAGGATGCAATAAATTGATCAAAAGTGACAAGAACAAAAGATTTCCATTTCAATTGTATCATGGTTTATTATAAAAAATGTTTTAATCAGCACAACCAGTGACAAATGTTTTTTGAGCACTGAATCATTCTAGAATGATTTCTGAAGGATCATGTGACACTGAAGACTGGTGAAAACTCAGCTTGGCCATCACAGGAATAAATTACATTTTAAAACATTAAAATAGAAAACAGTTCCTATAAATCGTAAAAGGGCTGTCAATCAATTACAATTTTTTATCTTATTTTATTATCTAATTTTATTGCTCTCGCTGCTCGTATGACATTAACTACATCATTTGATATAAATATGAGACAAAAACTCATACAGACATTTTTTGCCCCAATATCTTGAATTTTAGGGGCATTTATGGACTACATTCATGCAGTGAGTTGTTGCCCTGCAACAGTCAACTGTTTGAAATGTAAGATGACAGACATGTCTGGGGCGGAGCCAGTGCGTTAAAATATTTTAATCGCGTTATTTTTTCGCAACTAATTAAGTTAACGTGTTAAATTGACAGCCCTAAAAAAAAAATCACAATATTCCTATTTTTACTGTATTTTTGATTTTTACTCTAACTCAGACTGAGCATGACACTTAAATTTTTTTAATTTTTTTTTAATCTTACTGACCCCAATTTTTTCTATACAAAATATGTGCCGAGCTTCTAAAAGAATTCTAAAACAACCACCATAAAATTAGTGCAAAAACTATATTTCAAGCCTACTCAGGTCGCTGGATAGCTTTGTGTGAGGAACAGACTGAAGTCAGTGATTCACTGATAAATCACCATATTATCAGTGGGCAACGACATGTTTTAGACTGTCGCATGACATCAGAAGAATATAAAACACAAGTCAACATAAAGGTTAAGTGAGTGATTTTCATTTTCAGGTGAACTGTTCCTTTAAGCTAAAAGCTACAACAAATGTTAACTGCTTCAGAGCTGAAGGATACAGCATGAGCTTGCTCTCTCTCAGACACTCACTGACGGCTCGCCCTGCTCTGCTGCATGGGTGGATTCTCTCTGTTTGGGACCTGCTGCACCCCTGAGCCACCTGTCAAGGGCTTCTTCTTCTTCCTGCTGCTCCTGTAGCTGTGTGAGCCAGAGTACATACTCTGGGCTGGACTCGACTTCTCTCTCTGTCTCCCCTTCACTTTCATATGTCTTCTGAGACGCCTGCTGATCTCGCTGTGCTACCCTCACTGATCTTGGACGACAGAAACACCTGCCTCAACTTCACATAAAAGACTTCAATATCAGCTCAAGACGACAAAGTTACAGCCTGTTCACGGTATGTGGTGTACAAGGTTCTATCAAAAATTATTCCCATTGAGGCAAATTAAATGCAAATGCGAGTCATTCTCTAAAAAAGATTTGCATGCAATAAATGTGAAACGCACTCTGGCCGTTGATGTGCTCAATGAAAAAATTGTTTGACAAAGATGGGTGTGTTTATCATTTACGGGGCCACAAGCAAAGTCCATGCAAATTCACATACATTAACAAAATAAAATTTATACTATAATAAAAATGCAATAAATGTCACTCTCCTTGAATGGCAAAAAATAGCAGGATACAGTTATACACCACCGTGTCAAATTCAGGGTCGGCCTCTTCAGATCACCAAGACTGCATTTATTTAATCAAAAATACAGTAAAAACTGTTAATTGCAGTTTTCTATTTTCATGCATTTTAGAAATATTTCTTTCTATTTAAGAAACATTTAGTGTTCACAATCAAAGTTGTACTGCTTTTTAGTATTAAAGTAGTAAATTGCATTACACTTTTTCAGGAGTCTTTGATTAAAGTTCAAAAGAACAGCATTCATTTGAAACCAAATTTTCATTAGAATTTAGAATTTTTATAAAAATGCAAAAGTCTGTAATGTAATGCATACTTGCTGAATAAAAGCACTAATTTCTTTAAAAAAAAAAAAAAAAACTTTTCCTGACCCCAAACTTTTGAATGGCAGTGTATAACAAAGTGTAATGAAAATTATAGTGTCCTGTGAGTAACAGGCTGCTAATAATAATAGTTATTTTGTTATATACTAAAAATTATAATTATGCTAATAACTATAATTATATACTACTAAATAATCATTCCTCTTAGCATGGTTGGAACGCTGTTTTGACCAGGGCCATTTTATAGCAGCATATCTCTAACTCTATAGTCTATACTCTAAAAAAAAAAACACCACCCAACAATTAAATATTACAGGTTTTGAGTTCTTTTTAGCACATGGGAAAACAAATCAGAACTGTAGTTTTTAGAACTGGTGTGAAGGCATTCATTGAAATGCAGTGTCAAATTCAGGGTCGGCCTCTTCAGATCACCAAGACTGCATTTATTTAATCAAAAATACAGTAAAAACTGTTAATTGCAGTTTTCTATTTTCATGCATTTTAGAAATATTTCTTTCTATTTAAGAAACATTTAGTGTTCACAATCAAAGTTGTACTGCTTTTTAGTATTAAAGTAGTAAATTGCATTACACTTTTTCAGGAGTCTTTGATTAAAGTTCAAAAGAACAGCATTCATTTGAAACCAAATTTTCATTAGAATTTAGAATTTTTATAAAAATGCAAAAGTCTGTAATGTAATGCATACTTGCTGAATAAAAGCACTAATTTCTTAAAAAAAAAAAAAAAAACTTTTCCTGACCCCAAACTTTTGAATGGCAGTGTATAACAAAGTGTAATGAAAATTATAGTGTCCTGTGAGTAACAGGCTGCTAATAATAATAGTTATTTTGTTATATACTAAAAATTATAATTATGCTAATAACTATAATTATATACTACTAAATAATCATTCCTCTTAGCATGGTTGGAACGCTGTTTTGACCAGGGCCATTTTATAGCAGCATATCTCTAACTCTATAGTCTATACTCTAAAAAAAAAAACACCACCCAACAATTAAATATTACAGGTTTTGAGTTCTTTTTAGCATATGGGAAAACAAATCAGAACTGTAGTTTTTAGAACTGGTGTGAAGGCATTCATTGAAATGCAGTGTCCCTAGGCCCTACTAGTAACTTATAGTGACAGATTCATTTCCAATTAAACTACAATTGATTGATATCATACTATGCATACCATACGGGAAAGTCTTGCACTCAGTTACCTTTGCAGGTCAATCTGTCTCTGTGGCGTCGCTCTTTTCGGTTCTGCTTCTTTCTGCTGTTTTGGTGTCTTGACACCGATTGGATCAGCTGAGGCTGTGCTGTCGGGATCCTGAGCAGGTGCTGCTCTCTTCCGGCCCCGTCCGACCCCTCCTCCTGTCGTAGCTCCAGCCTCTTTATCCGGTGTGGCCACGCCTGCAGCGTTTTTCGGGGGTCGACCGCGTCGGGGTTTATTGGCAGGGGGCTGTGACCCTGCCGAGGGGTTTGAAGACACGCTGTTCTCCGTGCCGTCACTTGCAGGAGCAGCACGCTTCTTCCCACTGGGCTGAGCTGCCTCCTCCTAAAAGAGAGCAAAAACACTGAATGACACCGTTGTGAACGTGCAGCATTTTTAGTGTTCACATAGGGCTGGACGATACGGCCAAAAAAATTATCACAATCATTTTTTTCATATCAGTCGATATCGATAATTATCACGATAAATGTCAAATCTTTATTTCTTTCAAGCTTAAAGCCAGATTTTTGCTCCAAAGTGAAAGTTGTAGAAACCAGACCATTAATTTTCCTTAACAAAATAAATATCTACTGTAAATGCAGAAACTAAGAAATACATTTTTCTATGTCCTAATGAGTGATGTTGCTTCAAATCAAGAAACAGGTTTGGGTTGCCTGATAATATTAATAATAACATCACTTTTTAGACTCTTAGAAATGCACGTTTGATAGTAGCTTGAGTTAGGATGCAGAGGTAAATTTTTGTTCATTATCAAAATTAGTAACATCTGTAAAAATTGTAGCAACCTCAGTTTTGTGGTTACATTTATTCAGACCAAGGTTTTTTATTTTTTTTTTATTTTTATTAAGCATTGGTCTCCCATAGCATACATTTAAATCACGATAGACACAGTTAAAACCACACATATAGCACCTCAGTACCATGGTAAAAATATAACTATATGGTAAATGATGGCGATGTGTAGATTGAAAAGCCTTCTGACTGTCTCGTTGCACACAGTGTTTCTCCTGTTTTGCTTTAAACTAGTTTAAATCACTGAGTCATTTGTGTTCACCGCTGAATTCAAGCACTGGATCTCACAGCGCTGCTTAATGCTCGCGTGACCGAGTAAACACATCTGCTCTAGTGAGCTCGCACCGCGCAGTTTGAACTTTGATCCGAGTGGATAAACGGTCCGTGTGGTGCGATTCAATTGAGTCGCGCTGTTTCGTTCCGCTTTTGGCGGATAAACATTATATTGAACATTTATCAAACTCTTCATATCGTTTTATCTTGGAAAATTATTACGCGATAATTATCGTTATTGAATTATCGCCCTGCCCTATGTTCACATGAGATATATCTGACCTTCTTTACACTTCCTGCTTTTGTGATGACTGGATTCTCTTCATTCTCCCTCGCCCCCGTCTCTGAGGCCTCAGAACTCACATCCCTTCATGAAAAATAAGAGGAACAAATTAGGGCTGCAACAATGCTTTATGACAAAACTAAATCCATTATGACGATTACAAAAATAAGTCAATTTGTGTGGAACACTGGATAAAGTCCACATCACACTGAAAGAAAAGTAAAGAAATTCTGAAAAGCAGTAACCTGCTCTTATTTGTCGCAGGCGAGTTGGGTTGAGAGTTGGTGCTTGCATTGCTTCCCGTGTCAGAGGTGGTGGTTTTAATGTACGGTCGGCGAACTGCTACCGTTAAAGGTTTGTTCACTGCCCCCAGCACGCCTGTCTGCTTTGGTGGTTGCTGAAATATATTAATAAGTATGTGTGATGTATATTTCCAACAAAAAAATATTGATATGTCATCGATTCCAGCGTGCAAAATAACTTCCAACACTTTGACATTGAACACACTCTCAACTTTTTTTGTGTGCTGAACCTAAAATATACTTATTTGGAGATTATAAAGTCATGTTCTAAACTTTTAATGTCATAAAAAAATTGCAATCACTAATTCTGTAAATTATTACACCACTCTTCAAAGGTTTGGGGTGGGTAAGATTTTTTAAAATGTTTTTGAAAGTCTGCTCACCAAGGCTGCATTTATTTGATCAATAATACAGTAAAGAGTCATATTCTGAATTACATTAAAATATAAATTATTTTTAATTGTAATATTTTAAAATGTAATTTATTTCTGTGAATTTTCAGCATCATTACTCCAGTCTTTAGTGTCACATGATCCTTCAGAAATCATTCTAATGCTGCTCAAGAAACATTTCTGATTATCAGTGTTATACATATACTGTATATAGCTCTATTCGCATTAAATTGATCAAAAGTGACAGTAAGGGCTTTTATATTGTTATAAAAGATTACAAAGAAATTATGTTCTTACTGACCCTATTTCTTTGTTTTATATATTTAATTTTATTTAAATTATACATTTTTATATTTAATTTGGAACTGGCCTTCTACTACAAACTGTACTATCTTTTAAATTGCAGAAAATATATAGCAGCTAAACTATACTCATCATTTTTTGAAATTCATCAGGTCATCAGGGTTATTATTCACGTAAAGTCGCAGAGGTGACAAAACCTACCTGGATTTTCCCTGTCTGCAGAACTAATTTTGCTTCTGGTGACAGATATTCCTTATCATTGATAAAATCCTGTAGAGAGGGACAGACAGAATGAGTTTGATAGTAAGGTCACATGAAAGTGTCACTGTGGACAGTCAGAGTGGTTGTTACCTTATCAGGTGGAGTAAAGAAATTGCTAGGCAGCACAGGATCTTTCGGGGAGTCCAGATGACATGAAGTGCTCTTGTTCGCGATCACAAATAATGCCACATCACACACAATGTAAAGTTTCTGTAAACACATGAAAATAGAGTAAAGCACACTGGAATTCACAAATATGTAAACAATATGCATAACAGGTTAATGGTGACCAGTGCTGGGTAGTAACTAATCTGGATTGCGTAATCAGTTTCCAAAAATTAAGTACTTGCATTATTACATTTTAAAAAGCTCATAATCAGATTACAGTTACTTTTTTATGGATTACATGATTGCATATTATTCACACAATGGCAGTAAATCATTCATAATTTATTAATTCTCCCTATTTCTTAATTTCAAAAAATCCTTTTGTGTCACACCATTTAGCTTTGACTATATTCACAAATGTCATGTAAATAAATGTGCAAACCATCCTCCTGAATTTGAGGGAAAATAGCTCCTCTCTAGCAATTAGACCATGTTTGAAACAAATAATGATGCAAGTTAATAAACATGGTGATGTATAGCTGTTAAACACTGTCGCCATCATATCATCATATCAAGTGATAAAAATATTTAAAACCTGGCAGACTTTCGGCGTGTAATTTTGTTTTTGTGTTTATTGATGAAATAACAAGTGTTGTTAAATAACAAGTGAAAAAAAAAGTAGTCAGAATACATTACCTAACATGAGTAACCTAGATTATGCTATTAACTACAGTTTTCATCATGTAATCTGTAACAGACTACAATCTGTAAGTAATCTACCCAGCTTTGATGGAGACAAACCTCGTTTGCCTTTGGGTCGTCTGGGGCCTGAACATCTTTTGTTTGTTTGATGTTCTCTACCATCTTCCTCAGGAACGAGTGACTGTTATTCTCATTCTTTGTCATCAACACCTCCAGCATGAACCACAAGCACCTGGGGAAAAAAAATCACCCGAATTAGTTTTCATTTGAAAACATAAGAACCTTGGTGTCTGCGTCAACTCACTCTGAGCAGAAATGAAAAGACAAGGTTCAGTATAGACCATTTCAAAGACGTAAACAATAACAAAGGCGATGGAACGCTACTGCGCATGTCTGGTCCTGAAGCATTTCCGGTAGCGCAATTTTTAAATCTCAGATCTGTCAAAACAATCGTGTACTTTTTAAGTCTAGCGAAAACGCAACAGTTGCGGTATTTAAAAAAAAAATTTTAATAAATGGTGATTGTAATTACCCTTTAAATATGACTGAGGCGCAAACTTACAAAGAACATTCAAAAGTAGTTTCCGGACGGCTCTGATTGATGCTGCGTGTGTGTACACAAGAGATGGCGGTAAATGCATATCGCAGTCTATATGCAATTAACTCCTTAGCGGAAAGGCTGGGATAATTTGTTCGCACAATAGATGACATCAGTCTTATGTTTGGTTAAACTGAAGCAAGACAAACAAGTGTCACTTACGTATAGGGCTGTGCGATTAATCGAAACAGTCATAAAATCGCGATTTCTAAATCGCTTTATAGCACGATTTTCCGCACCCCTGACCTCAGTATGCTATCCAAACCAATCAGAATGCAGCGCGCCTAAATGGAGCACAAGAACAGAACAGACCGGGCGGGCATACAAACGTAACGCCAGGTTCACACACTCCATCTGTGGTGCGTATTTTTTCCACGCCCATGTTAACGGATCAGAGCGTTCACACTGCACGCGATTGCGGTCCGGCAGTCATGCTGCGATCGTTTCCGCACGGAGTCTATTTCTGCTGTGCTGCACGTGCTGAATTAAAGTGGCAGCGCATTATTCGCGGTAAAAATTAACATGGATTGACATGGAAATTTTGTAATTACAATATAAATGCATATAATTAAAGTCTACTGTTTCACAGTCAACACATGGCTTTTTGGCTAGATTTAAAACAAGGAAAAGTGCACTTTTAGATAAGCAAGGCAATAATAGATGGCACTCGTGGTGGTAGTTAAACAAAGTTATATTTATTGAGTTTAAACGTGAATATGTCTATGAAAGATTGTATTACTGTACTGTGATAAAAGAGAATCACAATGCTGAAAAAGCATTTTCAGAAACAACGTTTGGATTTGAAATCAATATAATGGATAAATGTTGTGTTTGTGGTAAACAGCCGCGGATCAGGAGCGGACTGCAAACGCGTCCTGTGCGAAAGCTAAATGAGTCCGTGCTGCTTCTGCTCCGCATACACATACTGTATACGCACTGCAGACGGAGTACGTGTGAACTTGGTGCAACAAATCTAGTTCAACATCTGAGGCAACGCCACAAAGAGCTCTATGACCAATGCATGGCAAAAAAAAAAAAAATCCCTGGACACGGGATTTTTTTTCTTTTTCTGCCATATGTCTATTCTAGAGACATTTTGTTACACCTTCACTTAGTGATTATTTTGCCTTATGTCTGTTCCAGAGTCATGTTACAGCTTTTTGATAAAGCTCTAATTGGTTTTCTTTTGGAAATATGTTTCAAATTCACACTGAATGCAATAATGACTGTAAAGCACGTCTGTGTGTCAAAATCTTGATTAAAATCGAAATCGCAAAATTGATCAAAGAAATCACGATAGGGTTTTTTTTTTTCATATCGCACAGCCCGACTTACGTACTTATCATGGTTTGTCACCAAGATGTCCGGGGAGGTTTTTAATGGACATTTCACTTGCATTGCTGGGTCAGTCTGTATATCTGTAAATATTGTACAGCGCTTTTCACAATACATACCGTTTCACTGCAGCTTTACAGAACATGCATGTATATTACAACGCTAAATGAATGCTAGGATACTAATCAATAAATGCCATTATTACTGATTTCATTCGTTTTAAAATGTGTGCTTAGTTTGGACAAGTTTGTTGCTGTGGAACAGTGCGAGAAAGCATTTGAATGCTCTATCTGAGCCATCATGTGGTCACAAATAAACAAGCTGAATGCAATTCAATGCTGGCTTCCGTGTTTTGCATAAACCTGTATTAGTTTTTTTTAAGATAAAAGTATAGCCTACATGCAGATTAATAAATGCGCACACACACTACATACAGTATATATGTGGGTATGTTTTTTTTTATGCACATTTACTGTAAACGCTCATACACATACAGAAGTACTGGTCAAAAGTGTGGGCACTATTACTATTTTTAATGTTTTTGAAAGAATTCTCCTATGCTCATCAAGCCTCCTTTAATTGATCAAATATACAGACAAAAACAGTAATATTGTGAAATATGATTACAATTTAAAATAATGGTTTCCTATTTTATCCCACCTAATCCCACTGGTCACAATTTAAAAAAATAATTATTGATATTTCAAAGGATTACTAATGACACATCATTTGGATATTTTCATGTCGGAGAAAAATTTGGGATTAAACCGGTTAATATGCTTTAAAATGTAATTTATTTCTGTGATCAAAGCTGAATTTTCAGCATCATTACTCCAGTCTTCAGTGTCACATGATCTTCAGAAATCATTCTAATATGCTGATTTATTATCAATGTTGGAAA